TCTCCGGCAGGGCCACCAGCCTGCCGGAGAGACTTCAAATAAACCACTTCAGAAAATGCTGCCAGCTGCCTGCACTGATGCATCAAAGGCAGCAGGCAGCTTCATCAGGAGCAGCTCTCGGGTGGAGGGTGCTGGGCTGCCACTCAATTCCTGCCCAACTGCCTGAAAAACAGTGCCTGACATCACCCAAGCACAGGGCCAGTTTGGCAATGCAAGAAATCACTGTGTGAGGCCCTTGGCCCTCACTAGCAGCACTCTCACACGCTCAGACAGGACACAGCCAGTGCAGCAGCTGCTCCTCATCTTGTTATACTTGAAATGACCAATTTTTAAACATCCTCTCTGCAACGCAACCATTAAGTCAAGGGCCCGGAGCTCTTTGCTGTACTACCCAGGACAACTTTCCTCTTAATGATCAAAGGACAGAAATAGGTCTTGGTGGCCAGATGCAGTTCAAGAAGCAAAAGGGAATGAAGTCCCCCCAGCTGTTTCACTGCCGACAGACGGCACAGCAGATTGTAGTGGAAGATTCCTGATGACAGCAGGCAAAAGCATCTATTTTGTGCTTTGCTGCTGTGCCAAAACTCCCTCCTGTCCCTCTCAGGCTTTTCCTTCAACTTCTTCGTGTTTCCTCATAGAGCACACGACTTCCCAAAACACCCAGCTAGGAGACAGCAGGATCTCCCTTGGGGAAGCAGAGCAGTCTGGAGCTGCCTCGCAGCCCTGCCTGCTGTCTTGCTGCTCCTTCTGGCAGTCCGAGGCTTCCTTGCCTCCTGAGCATCGCAGAGGGAACCTGGATCAGGGCTGCCGAGTGTGCAGGGAGGAGACAGACAGAGCAGCGTCTAACAGAGGGAGCCTCTTGGCTCAGCATGTCAGAGGAGCCCAGAGCATCGCAAGAGGACTGGAGCACACAACCGTCTTTCTTCCTGCCTTCTCCCACCACCTCACCTCTCACCTACGTGGTGCCTCCCTGTGCTGCACTCCAGAACCAAAGCAGCTTGTCCGTAACTCAGAGAATCAGTGCCTTACTCTGTGCCCCCTTCCGCATGCGTATCACGGAGGCAGGCGGCATCCTGGATGGCTGTAGCTCAGGCTTTCCAGTGAGGTTTCACATCCACACCGCCATTAGCCGACAGGCAACTGATAGTACTTTAGCGCAGAGCAGTTCCACTCCTATAGCCCCCACGACGAAGACAGCAGGAGCAGGGAGCAGCACCACACAGCTCTCCTGCTGCTGAAACACCTCCTCAGCTGCCAGAGCTGGAAGCCAGATGGCTTTCCATGCCCAGCCACCCCCTGGGCCAGCAGCTGGCTCTTCCTCTGGAGTCCACTGAATTTCCCAGCCAAGGTCTGCAGAGGAGCCCTGCAATGGCAGAGCTACCTCGGGAACTGTCTGCCATCAGAGTGGAACAAGAAGCCGGGACGATGGTGACTTTACCATGTCCATCTCCTGGGAGTGCCCTGCTAACACTGACACAAGTCTGCTCACCATTTCACGGTAAAGCCAGTAACACATCTACCTTTAGCCATCTTCTAAGACCCTGACAAGTAGCTACTTTGCAGGAGTGACCAAAGCAACAGGCGCTGCCTGTTCAACCCCACTAGTGCAGGAACTCGCCCTCGGCAGGGAGCTAACTAAGGGTAACTGGTCACCCAACCCCAAACCCTCACACCAGGAATCACAAACACGACGACCAAGCAGTAAGTGGGACTCTGGCCGCTGACACATAGTGCTTAGATGAGTCTTGGAGACTCTCTTTTATTTTCACAGTCACAGTGATGTGTGTGTATGTAACAGCAGCAGGCTTTGAAACATACAGCACAGTCAAGACGCAGGTGTCCATCGCTCAGGTCTAAGCAGCCATCACTGCCAATCCCCCCCCCGCCAGTCGCTCACAGGGGACACGCCGTCTGTCCGAGCAGCAAGAAAACAGCTGCTGAGGAGCTACAAAACCTTTGGTCCTATTAGCTTAAGAGGCTCCCACTTGCCTTTTCTGTCAGAGTGTAGAGAAATTGAGCAGCAAGAGCAAGGAGGTGAAACACGGTCCTCCAACAAGAGGGGGGGAGGAAGCGGAAGGCCGAGAAGCAGGCAGGAGGTGTAGTGCATTCACACCACCACCATCACCACAGCCCCTTGAGAGGCTGGCAGTTGGTGGGCAGCAGGGAAGGCAGCACTGTGCTGCACAATCACCAATCAGGCACGCGTGGAGGGACAAGGATCTCCCAGATTCAGCTACAGTATAAAAACCTCCTGACAGCACCTGTAGGAGGATTATGAGTGTTGCAGCACTTGTTCTATTCCAGTTAGTCTGCGAACATGCAGGCTCTGTTAATCAAGGTAAGGCATTACGTCGTGGCAGGGAATCATTTCTATAGATTAAGAGATATAAATAAAGCCCAAGTCTGACCAAGGCAAGTGTAGGCACAGAACTCCAGGCAGATGCAGTGTCTGACTGACATCTCTGAAAGCCAGTACTGCCCAGCAGCCTGGTGTCTGTATAGCTTAGAGCAAGAAGAGGTTTCACTTTAGGTCAAGGCACTCCAGGAGTCTCTGCCTGTGGCAGCAGAGCACCATGAATAGTCCTACAGTCAATGTAAACCAAGCATCCCAACACAGCTATTTTCTATCTGCAGCCTTTGGTAAGTGCTAATGTCAACGATACTCTGCACTAGCACAAAATGTGCTGCAGGAACAGGGCAGTAAGAGTGCCCCTTCCTCAGGACAAGGCAGGCTGGAGACCCCATAGATGTAGCACAGAGCCTTGCGCCTCCTAAGGAATAAATGGCTTTGAGATTTTACTTATTGAAGATGAACTAACTTTCAGCACAGGCTGAGACATGTTGCCTCAATGCATCAGTTCAAAGCAGGTTCACTCCATGCTTCAGCAGCTTTTGCTTGGCCTTGCTCGGCAAGCTGAATGCACTGTCATGAGGGTTGGGGACACCTGAGTTGCGGAGCGGAGCACCCAGCTGCTGGAAGTAGGTTTCCTGGACGGGATTCCGGCAGGCGTACACGGCTGTAGAGGCATTCCTAGCAGGGCAGGAGAGAAGGCAGTGGTCAGGATTTACAGCTTTGTGCAAGATCCCCTTCAGCTCACCAGGCTGGGCTTTGGGATGCTTGTGGCACTGGACTCCCAGCTATTGAGAGGGACTTTTAGGTCTCAGCAGAGCAAAGGAACACAGAGCTAAAATGGGCACCATAACCCTGCAGTGTATTACCAGAAGGCCACAGGGAACCAGACCCTTCTTCTCAAGAGTCCTGGCACCCTAAAAGAGAAAGCACCGTATGTCACATCCTCTGGGACCTACTCAGCAGCATTAACATCCATGCACGTAGCCATCCTCTGAGTATTTCACTTGCTGGCAGACCAGCCCAGTACATCAAGAGCTGGTAGTTAAATACTCCTCGTGTCTAACACCCCTTCTTTCCTGGAGGAACCTATCTCGCTGCTGCTGTCCATAAGCAAATCCCAGCCCGGCACCCTTGCAGCAGGAACCATACGAGGTTGTTTAGTCACAGGTGTGATGAAGCTCAGACAATAGTCAGATACTGTAACCACAAAGTCTCAAGTCCTTGATTAAAAAACACCACTCAGTATTTACCTGCAAGAGGGCTGGCAGGGAGCAAAGCAAAGGACTTTGCATTCCTCCTTGATGGAGGAAAGCAGCAACTGATATGTTTGCTGACACCCTTCTGTGACAACTCTCCATAAAAGAAAGCAGTTTTAGTCATCTTGTTACTCAGTCTGATTCACACGTGGAGTTGCTTTTTTTGGGGCAACACAGAATACGCCAGCTTAGCCAGTATAGGATTTAAGGAGCCAGTCAAACTAATGCTAAACAAGGAGTTCTCCAGCATTGAAGTGTATGATTCACGTTCCCTTGGCAAGCTGTGTCAGACAAGTGAAACAGTGTAATTCCCAGAAGCATCTTTATTTCATCATGCTTTGGACAAACAAGCACGGCCAGGCAAGCAGAATCTGCGCACTCCCAACATAACCATCCCCCCTGAGATCAGCTACAGGAACAGGGGGAGTGCTGTAGCACAAGATCAGCTTTAGCCACGGCTGTGTGGAAGGGCTCTGGCTGTGATAAGACCATCTTGCCTGGCGCATTACAATTGAGTTTGCCACGCACATTACAGTGTGTTTCCTCCAACCCAACAAGCCGTGCAAGAAAACAAAATCTAGGTTGCCAATTCTGGGTGCCTTTGGCTCCCAGCCAAGACACAAATTTATTAGGAACAGCTATATTTAACACTGTGTCTTAGAACCTTATGGTGCCAGGAACTGGCAATATTCTAGCATTATATTTTAATCCAAACCCGTGGCACAACTCAGCTGTGCCTTCAGTTCACTCACCTTGGTGCCATCCTAGCCTCTCAATACCCAGATCACACTGCAGGCAGAATATTAAGTAGCCCACATCTAAAGAGCAAACTTCAGGGAATACGGCGACATGACTGACCCTTGGCAGGAGACACTGGTGTGATTACAACGCGTGCCAAACCTCAGCCAGCCTTAGAAAAGGGGCTCCCTCCTTCTCACTATTCTGTGTGTCACACAGCACTCCTGTGCCTGGAAGAGGAGGGAGTTATAAGCACACCTTACCTAATTATCATTTCTGAAGCAGTCGGAAGCTGGTTGAAGTCGGAGTGGATCAGCGTAGCAGCTCTCAGGAAGTGCCGATCCAGAGGGCCAGGTGTATGGGGCAGGTTGGCTGCAGAATACGAGTAAGGGGTGTGTTAAGAGGCTGCTCTGTAGAGGAGCGTGCCCCCATTTACTGAGCAGAAAAAAGGCTGTGGACCTCTCTCTCAGACCCTGGATATCTACAGAACAGAGACTGGGTGACACCCTAAGCCCCAGTGTGACCTCAAGGAAGTTAGTCAGCAGCTTGCACCGTGCTCAGCCATGCACAACAAAAAGCCAGGGGTACCTTTCCACCCCACACATCAGAGGGGTGACAAGAAAAGGCCTGAGACCTGGGTTACCTAGAATCACT